GCAAAGGCTTGAACAAAGCAAAGGCAAAATGGTTCTTTGAAGAACCTCTGTGGCCATCCCCAGGGACCTGGAGTGCCCTCAAATCCCAGTCAAGCCCCCAAAAGTTGTGGGGTGATGATCAAAAGACCCAACATGAAATAAATATATTTAGGGGCTGGAGCGATAGCACAGCAGGTAGGGCTTTTGCCTTGCATGTGACTGACCCGGGTTCAATTCCCAACATCCCATATGGTCCCCCGAGCACCCCCCAGGAGTAATTCCTGAGTGCATGAGCCAGGAGGAACCCCTGTGCATCGCCAGGTGTGACCCAAAACGCAAAAAATATATATTTTAAATAAATAAAATATCTTATGATTATGAAAAAAAACTTTAGAGGAGTGTATTCACACCAGCTGGCAGGTTGTCCTGTCAGGCAAGAGCAGCAGCTTCACAGCACTAACACAGGCTTTTTTTTTTCTTTTTAAAAATATTTTTTAATTTAATCACCATGAAAAACAACATTTACAAAGTTGTTCATGATTGGGTTTCAGTCGTGCAGTATTGCAACACCTATTCCTTCACAGTATACATTTCCCATCACCAATGTCCCCAGTTTCTTTTTTTTTTTTTGAAACAAATAGATTTTATTTGGAGGATTTTTAGGTGCGGGGGGGGGGGGCGGGGAAGAGAGAGAGAGTAACGTACTCAAGAGAGAACACGGGCTTCTCCAAGGGTGGAGAGAGCCCCTAGACACAACCTAGCATTAGACACAAAAGCATGAAAGTACACATCTCAAGAGGGGAGATGCGGGCAACACATGTGCTTGGGCATTACATGTGCTCGGCCACGTGGGCACAAGCAGCACATGGACTCGGGCAGCATATGCACCTCTTTTTTTATTTAATTTTTATTAGTGAAACACCATGAGGTACAGTTATAGACTTAAAAATTTTTGTGCTTGGGTTTCAGTTATACAATGATTAAACACCCATCCCTCCACCAGTGCCCATTTTCCACTACCATAGATCCCAGTATCCCTCCCACCCCCCATTCCCCCCATCCCCCCCATCCCACCCTGCCTCTGTGGCAGGGCATTCCCTTTTGTTCTCTCTCCTTTTGGGTGCTGTGGTTTGCAACAGAGGCACTGAGTGGCAATCACGTTCAGTCTATAGTCTACTTTCAGCATGCTTCTCCCATCTTGGATGGATCCTCCCAACACCCTTTATTTGGTGCTCCCTTCTTTATCTGAGCTGCCTTTTCCCCTAGCATGTGCGGCTGGCCTCCAAGCCATGGAGTAAACCGCCTGGTACTTATCTCGGCTATTCTTGGATGTTAGTCTCCTATTTTGTTACTTTATGTTCCCCAGATGAATGCAATCTTTCTATGTCTGTCCCTCTCTTTCTGACTCATTTTGCTTAGCATGATACTTTTCATGTAGTACCACTTGTATGTAAATTTCATGACTTCATCTTTTCTAACGGCTACATAGTACTCCATTGTGTAGATGTACCAAAGTTTCTTTAACCAGTCATCTGTTCTCAGGCACTCAGGTTTTTTTCAGATTCTGGCTATTGTAAAGAGTGCTGCAATGAACAAACAAGTAGCACAGGCTTTTGATTAGAAAAAAATGTGTCCTGGCATACCTGTCATTTTTATAAGCACCCACAAAATTAGTTTTAACTCAGCACACCCATATCCTGCACCCCGTAAATTTATGTAAGCACAGTGAAGCAAGCATTGTTATGGAAGTGAGAAAAAGTGATTGCACAAAGCAATCAACTATTGATCTTTAACCACCTCACTTTTGGGGACCCTAACCCATTGTTCCTATTTGCACTCTCTGACGAACTAGTGCCCTGGTCAAACAGTTACAAGAAATTCAGTATACTCATGGAATAACTCAGAGAACTAAAAAGTGAACTCTAAACCAACCTACCTTTATATTCTTACTATAACAGACTTCAAATCATTATAGCCAAATAATAGTCAACATTTCTGAAAGATACTTTCTCTCACACACCTGCTGTATAAATGTTCTTGCCCACGGTTCAGATATTGAACAATTTAATTTTCACTGGATACTCTATGTACTGGACTGGAACGATAGCACAGCCGGTAGGGCATTTGCCTTGCACGCGGCCCAGCCAGCCAACCCGAGTTCGATTCCTCCACCCCCTCGGAGAGCCCGGCAAGCTATCGAGAGTACCTCACCCGCATGGCAAAGTCTGGCAAGCTACCCGTGACATATTCGATATGCCAAACACAGTAACAACAAAGTCTCACAATGGAGGCGTTATTGGGTCCACTCAAGCAAACAAGATGAACAAGAGGACAGTGCTACAGTGCTATCAAACTACTAAAACTATCAAACTACTCAAAGTCTACTCAACTGTACGGTGGTGAAGGGGCTTCTGTTCATGTGTCTGATCAATATTAGATCACTGCATGTTGACTGCAGGACTGAAGAGTTGTTGAACACGGTGATAGGAGTAGCTTGAAAGCACCCATGGCTGTGAACGCAGACGAAGGAATATTGCTCACATGTATAATACTTTCCCACTCATCACCAATCCCTGAGCCCCTTTCTGGGGCACGAGATTCATTTAGTTTCTAGTCCACTCCTGTAACTATGAGAGCGTAAATAGCAATCTGGAAATTCCGTGCGTTGTAAACAATCACTAAGCTATCTCAGGGGCTCAGAGAGATATCCATCGGGGAAGTAGCTGACCCAGGTTCCATCCATAGCATCACTGAGCCTAGTCTGGAGTGATCCTTGAGCACAGAGTCAGGAATAAATCTTCAGCACTTCTGGATAGGGGCCCCCAAAGGAATCAATAAACACAAACCATGATGAATATCTGAATATTATCGCCCTGTGATTTCTGCGCAATTTTTGGGGGGTGGGGTGGGAGGTGAGTGGGGCAGAGCTGAGGCACGGTCCTGACAATTGTTTTCAAAGGAATTTTTGTAAATTTTTTATTCCCTTAGTGAAAAAAAAAAAACTTTCTCCACTATATGCCGTCTTTTTTGGGGGGGAGGGGGGAATTGATAGCTTTATTTTTCACATTATAATTTTTTTAATTTGCTGAGCTATTGTGAAATAAATTACACCCATCATTACATTTCTTCTCTAAGTGTTTACAATGTACATTTTTACAAAAATAAGAATGCACTACTAAAATAACATTACTGTAACTGAATTACAACGTCTTAATGCCATCCCATACTTAGCTCGCCATTAAATTTTGCCAACTGTCCCCAAAAGGTCTTTTATGGTATGTTTGTCTAATACACAATTTTATTTTTTTAAATTTTATTTATTTATTTTGCTTTTTGGGTCACACCCCGCGATGCACAAGGGGTTCCTCCTGCCTCTGCACTCAGGAATTAACCCTGGCGGTGCTCAGGGGACCATATGGGATGCTGGGAATCGACCCCGCTGTGCTATCACTCCAGCCCCCTAATAAACCATTTTAAATGGGGGGGAAAAAAAATTCTCATCAGGTTAACTTTCCAGATAATCCAAACATCATTTACATAGACCGTCTCTAAATTAGCCCCTCTCTCCCATCTCTCCAGGACCTGGCCACCCGGAGATTGTCCCGGGGTCACCTGATCCAACACCAGCCAAAGAGGAAAAAAAAAAGACATTCCTATTCCTGACCTGGACGATTAGGAGCCTGGCCCTTTAAAGTCCTGACCGGAAGTGCGGTGACGTCACGGAATCCAGGCTCTTTTTTTTTTTTTTCCTAGGCATCTTCTACGTTCGGGGCTGAAATGCTTTTCCGCCGCCATTGCTGCGAGGTGAGGACCAGGAGAGCGGCAGGGAAGGAGGTGAGAAAAAGGGGAAACAGGGTTTTTTGGTTTTTTTTTCTTCGTCGCCGGCCGCCGATCGGTCGCTCCGAGCGCCCCGACCTCCGCGGTTTCCGCCTTGCGGGTGGCGGGGGTCGCTCGGTGAAGGTGGTCGGGGTGGGGGGGTGGCGGCCCGTGAGCGCTCCTCTGCGGAAAGACTTTTGAATTCATCGGTTTCTGGGGAGACGAGGAAGTTTCTGCTAAAGAGAATTTATTTATTTATTTACTTAGATGCGTCAGCGGGGGGGGGGGGGGGAGGGGCGCGCGGGGTGGGTGGGTGGGGTGCGCGACACGCACGACTCAAGTCTAACTAACTAGGGTGGGTGGGCGCTGGCCTTGCACGCCGCAGCCCGGGTTCCATCCCCCGGGGTCCCTCTTGGTCCACGGATCGATCACACCAGTGGGGGAGCCCTGAGCATCGCCCCGCGGCCCCCAACCCCACCCCCCCATAAAAGATCGGGCTGGGCAGAGGGAGGCACGTGGTCCTGCAAGAGAAGGAGTTTGCACAGAGAACCTCTTTTTTTATTATTATTATTTTTTAATTTTTATTAGCGAGACACCATGGGGTACAGTTGTAGACTTACAGATTTTGTGCTTGGGTTTCAATTTTGCAATGATCAAACGCCCATCCCTCTACCAGTGCCCATTTTCCATCACCACGGATCCCAGTATCCCTCCCACCCACCATCCCACCCTGCCTCTGTGACAGGGCATTCCCCTCTGTTCTCTTTCTCCTTTTGGGTGTTGTGGTTTGCAAAAGAGGCATTGAGTGGCAATCATGTTTAATCTATAGTCTACTTTCAGCATGCTTCTCCCATCCTGGGAGGATCCTCCCAACACCCTTTACTTGGTACTCCCAGAGAAGCTCGTTTTTATTTTTATTTATTTTTTTTATTTTTTTGCTTTTTGGGTCACACCTGGCAATGCACAAGGGTTATTCCTGGCTCTGCACTCAGGAATTACTCCTAGCAGCACTCAGGGGACCCAATGGGATGCTGGGAATCGAACCCGGGTCGGGCCATGTGCAAGGCAAACGCCCTACCAGCTGTGCTATCTCTCCAGCCCCGCCTATGGACTTTTAAAAATTGAACCCGACTTAGCTGCTTGAATGAAAAGTACCCTATCACCTATACTATTTCTGCTAACCCTCTATCATTTTGTTTTACCCCAGAAGAAAAATTTCTGCTTCACCTACCAAGTTTTTGAGCACCATCCCATCCTCACTGTCCATCTCTCCCCAGGCCAGGGGCGCTCTGTGCTATTCTGGTGAGTATTTGCAGAAAGGGGGTTTCTAGGGACCAGCTGCCATAGGTTTTACATGTCTCACTCTAGGGGTCTGTGTAGTGGTACAGCCAAGAGGGCCTTTTTGTCTTGCTCTTGGCTGTCCTGCGTTTGATACCCGCCAGCCCATAGGCTCCCCAGAGCTATCATCTCTGTTCCTCAAATCATAAAAACAAATAAAGGGGTGGAGGTTCAGCAGGAAGGGCCTTTGTTTTCCATTTGGCAGAACTGGGTTCAGTCCCCGCAACTCATAGGGTTATCTGAGGATTGCCAGAGGTGCCACAGAAATCAGGAAATTTTTTTTTTGGTGGGGGGGGACGACCATATGGGATGCTGGGAATCGAACCCGGGTTGGCTGCATGCAAGGCAAACACCCTGCCCGATGTGCTATCACTCCAGCCCCAAATTCAGAAAACTTTTATCATATTTTATCGGTTGCTCTGTGTAGGATAACATTGGTTGTCCTTTGTCCCTTGCTATAGAGAGCTTAGGTTTTTCGGGTGATACCCATCACATCTCCTGAAGCACCTTCATTTCTCTGTGTTTATTGAAATGTAGCTCTAAACATTTTAGGATTATATTGGTATGTCCTGTTTCCCTTGCCACTGGAGGCTCAGGGTTATCACAGTGCTCCTGAGGCACTTCCATTCCATTGTGTTTATCTGTAAACTCTTCTCTGTGGTCTCCTCCCCAACCAGTTAATCAGCTTTTCCCCCTAATCAGACTCTGTTAACTTGTAAGGTCAGATTCCTCAGAAATCTTTGAATTTATATGCATGAGTGAAATATTGCCTTTCTCCTCTCCTTATGTCTTTTGAATAGTTTACTCTAAAATGATGTCCTTTTTGAATAGACACAGGGAAGACATTAATATGCTTTTGTAACTTGGGATTTAGTTGGCTTGGAGTATTATTTACTCCCGTGCATCTGCTTTCTCAATTTTTTTTTTTGTGGAAACTATTAAGATCTTTATTTGAAAAAAGATACATTTACTTGACATCAGGGTATAGGAAAGAGTTTGGAACATTATACTTGCACAAAAAATACAGGTAAGGTTACCCATGTGGATCCTACTTCTTTTTTTTTTTTTTAATTTTTATTAGTGAAACACCATGAGGTACAGTTGTAGATGCACAATTTTTTGTGCTTGGGTTTTGATTATACAATGATCAAATACCCATCCCTCCACCAGTGCCCATTTTCCACCACCATGGATAATATCCCTCCCACCCCCATCCTCCCCATCCCCCCTTGCCTCTGTGGCAGGGCATTCCCTTTTGTTCTCTCTCTCCTTTTGGGTGTTGTGGTCTGCAAAAGAGGCATTGAGTGGCATGCTTTCTCAATTTAAGCCTCAGTTGCCCTTAGTTCCTAGCACCCCAAAAGCAGGGTCCCAACAAAGGACTGAATGGACCCAGGGCAAGCTGTGAGATACCCTGGCATCGAAATGGGCCAGGCCAAAGCGCCACGATTCATAACTATAAGAGCTTGATCATGGACCAATGCTGTCATGATCCAAAAGTAATGACAAGGGGCTGGAGTGATAGCACAGCGGGTAGGGCATTTGCCTTGCACATGGCCCCACCCTGGTTCGATCCCCAGCACGGCCATATGGTCCCCTGAGCACGGCCAGGAGTAGTTCCTGAGTGCATGAACCAGGAGTAACCCCTGAGCATTGCTGGGTGTGACCCAAAAATAAAAAAACAAAGAAAAAAAAAAGTAATGACGAGACTAGGACCCTGCTAGGGATAGGGAAGACTAATCTGGCCTGAGCACTGTAGTCTGAGATCAAGATGACCCCAGAAAAGCGATTCTATAAGCTTAACGTTTCTCTTACTGTATCCATGCAAAATGATTGTGTATATGTTATGAATGTTTATATGTTTGTTGGACTAAGGAGAGGAGAGACACACCCATATCGCCTTTAGGCCAAGTCATCTTGCTGGACAAGAATCTGTCCTGGAAGTAGCTGCCCCTAAAGGAAGGACCTTACATCCGCGGATTGTATGATGTTACCCCAACCCCTCATGCTGGGGGATTTAACTAGGCTGGAGGGAGAAAGGGATTCCAGAGCCAGAAGGAGAGGGGGTTCCAGAGCCAGGAGGTGAAGGAGAATGAAGGGGGATTGAGAGGGAGAATGAAGTAGCATGGGGGGCGTGAAGCAAGAGGAGACAGAAGCGAATGAGAAGTGTGACAGCAGCGGTCTGTCTCTCCCACCACCCGTGTTTGGGGGAGGTGATGGTGATGGGCAGGCGAAGGAAGGAACAAGGGCCAAATTGGTTGGTGTCAGTTGAGGTTTATTCCACTCCTCTTTCTTCCTCCCCCATGCTCCTTCCTCCTCAGTCCCTCTTCATTCTCCTTCTGGCACTGGGATCTGGATCCCCCAGCCCACTCTTACAGTCTAGTTAAATCCTAAAACCATGAGGGGTTGGGGCTTACACATAGGTGTGGTCACAGTCAATAGGATTAAAGTTCTCCCTTCAGGGGATGCTTCTAGAACCTATGCTTTCAGCAGGACAACCCACTCTAGAGCAGAAGCCCATGGATGTGTTTCTCCTCTCCTTGTCCAACAACATCTAAGCATTCATAATAATCATTTTGTATGGACACAGTAAGAGATGCATTAAGCTTATAGAATTGCTCTCGATCTCAGGCTACAGTGCTCAGGTCAGATTAGTCTTTCCTATCCCTAACAGGGTCCTAGTCTCGTCCTTACTGTTGGATCATGACAGTATTTGTCCATGATCAAGCTCTTTACTTACAGTTATGAATCGTGGCACTTTGGCCTGGCCCAGTTCGATGCCAGGGTAGCTCACAGCTTGCCCTGGGTCCATTCAGTCCCTCATTGGGACCCTGCTTTTGGGGTGCTAGGAACTAAGGGCAACTGAGGCTTAAATCGAGAAAGCAGATGCCCGGGAGTGAATAATACTCAAAACCAATTAAATTGTAAGTTACAAAAGCATAATAATGTCTTCCTGTATGTATACAAAAGAACATTGTTTTTTTTATTTTTATTTTTATTTTTTTGTCCCTATGACAAAAAATAGTGTCCCTATGACACTAGGGACAAGAAGGGGACATTCAATGTTCAGCGGGTGACCCAAAGCTGAACGTGGACATATGTGCCTGTAGGACTCTAAACTCACAGTTTGGTAAAAGCCCCCACATCCAATGCCCTTGCTCCAAAAATGAAGACAAAGAGAAAGTTATCTGTCAAGAGCACAGGTGAGAAATTCAGTCATATATTCTCCAGGGTCAGCTCTTTGGGTTTTTGGGGGGAGGGGGCGGGGCACACCAGAGGTGCTCAGAGATTCCAGGCTAAGTTTTCAGTGATTATATATATTTCTCTTTTGGGTATGTGATTTTTTTTTTAAGTTTTTTTTTTAATTTTTATTTTTTTTGGCTTTTTGGGTCACACCTGGCGATGCACAGGGGTTACTCCTGGCTCTGCACTCAGGAGTTACTCCTGGCGGTGCTCAGGGGACCAGATGGGATGCTGGGTCCCGGGTCCCCTACATGCAAGGCAACACCCGCTGTGCTATCACTCCAGCCCCAAGGACATTGTTTTAAAGTAAACTATTCAAAAGATACAAGGAGAGGATCCCTAGAAGGATCTGACCTTACAAATTAACAGAGTCTGATAAGGGGAAAAAGCTGATTAACTGGTTGGGGAAGAGAGCATAGAGAAGTGGTTACAGATAAGCAAAGGAAGGGAGTGACTCTGGAGCACTGTGATGGGAGTAACCTGATAAACCTAAGCTCCTTGTGGCAAGGGAGGAAGGACAAACCAGTGTCATCCTACAGAAAAGGAGATTGGAATAAACAGCAATTGACACCAGCCAGCCTGGTCCTGGGTTCCTTCCTTCCCCTGCCTATCACCATCAACCTCCCTGGGGTGGGGGAAGCAGCTTGAGAGAGAGATAGAGTGCCACCATGCCCCTTTGTGTTTACACAGCTGTGAGCGTGTGTGGCCCAAACCACAGTCTGTCCCTCCTCCTCCCCCCCCACCCCCCTAAAAAAGTCTCACTCCAGAATTCCAGAATTTGTCTTGACACCTGAGCATTCTTTGAAATTCTTTTTGGGCAGTTTGAGTTATCATGACTTTTTTGTTGTTGTTCTTGTTGTTTGAGTCTGGCGCCTTAGACCACTAGGCCATAGTATAGTGGGTAGGGCGTTTTTGCCTTGCAACCAGCTGACTCAGCCGACCCGAGTTTGATTCCTCTGCCCCTCTCAGAGAGCCGGGCAAGCTACCAAGAGTATCGCGCCCACACGGCAAAGCCTGGCAAGCTCCTCGTGATGTATTCGATATGCCAAACACAGTAACAACAAGTCTCACAATGGAGACGTTACTGGGCTCACTCGAGCAAATGGATGAACAGGAGGACATTGCTACAATGCTACAGATGTTGTTGTTTCTTGTTGGTTTTGCCCTTTTTGCTACCAACTTGAGGTGGTCAGGGACTGCACCTCTGTCCTTGTGTCTCTGCATGCAAGGGTGCCTTGCTGTATCCCAACCAGTAAAGCAGTTGCTCAGCCCTCTGAGCTCAACTCCCTGGGTCTATCTCACTACTCGGGGAGCACATGGGGTGGGATTTGGGGCCACACCTAACAGTGCTCGAGGGCCGGTCCCAACTATATGCTCAGGCTACCAGTGGACAATGGGTACCAGGGAAGGCCCTCGGGCTTCTAGGTGGCTGGCGTCCAGTTGAGTCTGGTCTGCTCTCGTTCCTACCTTCATTGGAAGTTTATAGATATAAATATTTTGGAATATACCCAATAATAGTCTGTCAGGAGAAAAAGAAGGAGTTGGAAACTCTAAACAAAATTCTGTGCTATCACCATGAAGCTTTTAGACCAAGTGCTTTTTTTTTTCTTCCCCTTTTTGGATCACACTCAGCAATGCTCAGCGGTCACTCCTGACATTGCTTGGGGGACCATATGGGATGCCAGGGATCAAATCCAGGTCAGTCGCTTGCAAGGCAAATGCCCAACCTGTTGTATTATCACTCTGGCCCCTCCTCTTCTTTTTCTTATGCAAAGTCACATACCAAAAAATGAGTAAAATCATATAGTCTGCGAGAAGTTGGCCTATAAGCTCAGAGCTCTGCTGGGTGTGGCCACAAAACAAAATTGAACCTTGAGAATCTATCACTGGATTTCACACCTCTGCTGTTGGCAGATAACTTCCTCTTTGTTTTGGGTTTTTTTTGGGGGGGGGTCACACCCGGCGATGCACAGGGGTTCCTCCTGGCTCTGTACTCAGGAGTTACTCTTGGCGGTGCTCAGGGACCATATGGGATGCTGGGAATCGAACCCGTGTCGGCCGCTTGCAAGGCAAACGCCCTACCGGCTGTACTATCTCTCCAGCCCAACTTCCTCTTTGTTTTAACTGGGTGTGTGGTTGGGAGCGGAGATGGGGGTCTGCCAAACCAGCAGTGCTCAGGGATCATTCCTTGGGGATTCAGAGTATATAGTTGAGTCTGTTGCATTTATGGGAAGTGCCCTCCCCACTGGTCTCTCTTTCTGGCCCCTACTGGCAATAAAAACCTTTGGATTTGCAGCCTGTGCTTCCAGCTCAGGGTCATATTGGGAGCTTCTAGGTGTCAGCAGCCCTGCAATGGCCTCTGCCAGCTGAGCCTCGTCCCTGCTCCCCTTCATGCCCGTCTGTGTCCTTCTCACAAGGTTCACAGGATTTATATAGAATTAGAATTCCTCAGGTCAGAGATAGTGCGGGAGTGCAGGCCCTGGCCTTGCAAGCAGCCTGCCACAGTACAATCTCTGGCACAACACAGTACCGCTAGGAATAGGCCCAAAGTTCTGCCACTTATGGCTCCAGACCTGTGCCCTGTAAAACTGACTAGGAGGAGTTGAAGCATAAAATGTTTTTTTTTTTTTATGTTGAATTTTAGGCCATACCTTGTAGTTGCTGCTTCTGGTACCTAGTGGGGTGCCAGGGACAGAACCCAGGTCAGCCGTTGCAAGGCAAATACCCTAGCAGACTATAGGTCCGGCTTTAAAAAATAGTGACTTGTTTTTGTTTAGATGCCCTGCCTAGTGATGCTCAGGTGTTACTCCAAGCTCTGTGCTCACTGATCCCTCTATGCACTGCTTGAGGACCCTGTAGGGTGATTGCAGTTGAACCTGGGTCGAGCATGTGCCAAGCAAGCGCCCCCTGCTCTGTGCTGTGTCTGTGGATATCATTTAAAAACTTTTACACTGGCTAATGTCCAGAAAGTTATGAAATTAGATGTTCTTGGTTCTCCTAAGTACACGATTTTTTTAAACCTATTTATTTATTTATTTATTTTGCTTTGCGGGTCACACCTGGTGATGCTCAGGGGTTACTCCTCAGCTATGTGCTCAGGAATTACCCCTGGCAGTGCTCAGGGGACCATATGGAATGCTGGGAATTGAACGCGGGTCAGCTGCATGCAAGGCAAACACCCTACCCACTGTGCTATCGCTCCAGCCCCAGTACACGGTTTTTTTTTTTTTTCAGCTTATTTTACATTGTTAGTACACAGTAAAGGTAAAGGTAAAGGTAAAGGCCCTCCCGTTGATCGTCGATTTGCTCGAGCGGGCCCAGTAACGTCCCCATTGGAGACTTTGTTGTTACTGTGTCTGGCATATCGAATACTCTCGGTAGCTTGCTGGGCTCTCCGAGAGGGGCGGAGGAATCGAACTCGGGTTGGCTATGTTGGCCGCGTGTAAGGCGAACGCCCTACCGCAACACTTTAATTGGTTTTTTTGTTTATGAGGCTCGGTCAGCAGTGCTCCTAGCTTACTTCTGCCTTTGAGGTCAGGAATCACTCCTGGTGGACTTGGGGACCCTATGGGATGCAGAAATCAAAGCAGAGTCAGCTGCGTGCAAAGCAAGTGACATATCTTATGTGTTTTCACCAAGGCCCCAGAAACTAATTTTTATCTGTTCTGCTATATTTTTGTTGAAGATGTTACAAGATTTTCTGTTAGAGTGGACCCAGGGGGACTGAGACACAGGACAGCAGGTCCACTACTTGCCTTGCCTTTCCCGGGAGCGATGTGCAGCCTGGATTTGAATCCATTTCTGCACCCCCTAGAGAGGAAGGAGCATCTGACAGTGTCTCCTCTGGGTGGTCCTGTGAGCTGGTGCCCAAGGGTGCAGCCAGTCAGACCATCTCTGGATCCAGTGCAGGGACTTCTGGTCAGGGTCATGCAGGTTGTGCTCCTCTCCGGTGCTCACGGCTCTGACTTCTCCAGGTCTTTGTCAAAGGCTCGGCGGGGATCCTTGAGAATAACAGGCTGGAGAAGATGGAGTTGCATCGTCTGACACGCTGTCCCCAGGTAGGAGGAGAATGACATGATGAGGTGCTAGGTGACAGGAGAGCACAGGCATCCAGGGTGCACTGTCTGGGGATTGTTTCGGGAAGGGGATGTGGGATGTGGCTCTGATTGGGTGCACAGTTCTGCTGTTTGAGGCCACTTTTGTCCATTTTAATTTGTGTGTGTGTGTGTGTGTGTGTGTGTGTGTGTGTGTGTGTGTGTGTGTTTGGCTTTCTGGCAATACCCAGTGGCTCTCAAGGAGGGCTCTCAGTTTAATGGTCAATTGTCAGCCTCCACAGGTCTCCGTGACCTTACAGACAACAGGAGTCCAAGACTGACTTCTTGGGTTTTTTACCTTTTTTTGTTGGGGGCTTTGGTTAGGGGGCAGGGCCACACCTTGTGATTTTTAGAATTAAGTTACCCACTCTGGCATTGCACCTGCAGTGCTTTGGGGACCATATGGGACATGGTTCTTGCCCGACCAACCCGCTGTTTCTGTTCCTGCTGTGCTGTTACTCCAGCCTTCTACCTTGTTTCCTTTCGATTTTTCTTTTGCCACAGTGGAGGTGCTCATGGCTTCCAAGAGAGAGCTCAGGATTCAACCTGATGGGCATCAGGGGCCCCAGGGAGTACTTGGCCCAATGTGTGCTGACTCTAATGACTCCAGATCCCATCACTTGTGATTCCCATAACCGTCACATAACTTCAGGTTCAAATGCTGTTGTGCGCATGTGCCGTTCCTAGGGAGACAGATCAGAAGATGTCTGGGGCCAACTGAGTTATTGTGGGTCAAGTAACTTTTACCTCCTCCTAGAGGGTTTGACCTAGCCCTGAACCGTGAGTTCAGAATTCTACCAGCACATATGCCCACCACAGCTTTGAATTGCTGACTGGACATTGAGTGTCCCCTTCTCGTTCCTAGAACAGGGATGTGGGATGTATCATGGGGGAGGGGTGTCTAGTGTTTTGGTCCACCCTGGTGTAGCTCTTTTTCGATGCTACTGGAAATATGCTCAGGTCTTACTGTCGCTGGGTTGGCCATGGGATGTCTGTGTAAGGCTGGCGCCTCCAGGAACCTTCTAGTGTAGCACCCTCACATTGCTGCAGACCTGGTTGGCTTTGACTGGGTTTCTTGGGACCATCAACCAGGAATGTGCATGGAGGCTGGTTCCTCCTGATGGGAGAGGGGAGATGTCCTGAGCCCCTATGGTACCGTCCTCATGGTCCAGAAAACAGGGGGGCCAGGCCCTGACTCCTGACCCCATGTGTGTATCCGCTCAGGGCGCTCTGACCTTCTCCGATGTGTCCGTGAACTTCACCCCAGAAGAGTGGACATACCTGGACTCCTCTCAACGGAAGCTCTACAGGGACGTGATGCTGGAGACCTACCAGCACCTGCGGGCCGTCGGTGAGAGCAGCATGCGAGCCGACTGTGCCAGGACAATTCTGCATTGGCACCTGGGGGTAGGCCTGAGCTGTGTATTCCCCAATGGCCTTGATTCTGAGGGGCCAGATTATTGACCGCGGTGCAGTTAACTGTCTCACATGTTCGTTTCTCTTGTTTTTGTTATTTGGCCGCAGTTGGCAGTTGGCAGGCTTCCTCGTGGGATGCAGGGGATTTATCTGGGTCAGTCATGAGCATGGCAAAGCGCTCCACATGCTGTACTATCACTCAGGTTCCTGTAAATAATTCCTTCCATTGCTAAATCAATTTACTTCGGTTCATTGGAACAAGAACATGTCTTGAAAGGTGGAGTTCTGGCCACTGCAGGGACTGCAGCCTAATGCTGGGAGTTGAGGGTCCGTAGTCTCACTGGGTACTAAAATTAGTCATTTTAAAATCTAAAGATATACCTATTACTATTTTTTATTATTTCATGCTTTTTCATTCACACACAGCGATGCAGATAGGCTACTTCTGGCTCATCACTCACGACTCCTGGTAGTGCTCAGGGTACCATGTGGGAAACCAGGGATCAAAACAATACCGCCAAATGCAATGGAAATGCTCTCCCCACTATACCAGCGTTCTAGCCCCCAATTCCTACTGTCTTTAATTTTGAAAAATATTGATTTTCACTGGATTGAAAGTAAGCACAAGGTTAATTATTTAAAAGAGTGTTTTCCTTGCCACCAGTGTTAGTGCTTTGGAAATAGACTTGCTTTCCACAAGGATGGACACCTGCTCCGTTTCCAGCACCCCAACTGGACCCATGGGACTCACCATCAGTGATCCCTGGCTCCACTTGGTGCGGCCCACCTCACAAGAAGTACAGACTGCTGTTGAGTTTCCTCACAACTCAACTCAGCACACAGTACAATACTTAAGAAATGAGAAATGGTGGGCTGTTGCGAAGGCAGGCCTGCACGCAAGCTGGGCATGGGTAGGACATGGAGTTGCCCTCCAGGAAGTGGGAGGACAGGCGCAGATTCACCGGCGTCATTCAATCTCTTGTTTACAACACAGTCCTAGTTGTAGTTAGGGCCGTAGTCTCGGTCATCAGAGTTCCATCATCCTAGTTTTTTCGCGTACCTCAAAGTCTCCCAAGTCTCAGTTTTCCTCCTCGTCTTGTTTCCTCTTCATTGCTGTGCGCTTTTTATCTTCTTCCTTTGTGCTCTGCTTCTATGTGTGCCGTTGTGCTCTTTTCTGCCTGTCTCTCTAGTCTCTGACTCTCATGTCTCAGTAGTCTCTCTGTTCGCTGTTTCCGGTCTCAGTCTCTCCTCTTCAGTGTTGGTGGTCTGTCCTTTTCTGACTTTCGTCTTCTACTTCTAACTTTGGCATTGTGATCTTCTCTTAAGTCCTCTGTCTTCTGTCCTGATTTCTTCTAACCCAGGTGACCAGGGCGACCTCAGCGACCCCTTAACCTCGTAATCTTCTGACTTCGCCCAACCTTCTAACCATGGCAACCTAACCATCTGACCTGACCTCCGCAGCTCCTTCGAGCATAGTTCATATAGAAATTATGTAGGGTGGGGATACAAAGGTAGGGTTGAACATTAACAAATCAACAAAGAGAGGTAAGGCCGATCCTCCAGAAATCTCATCTAAGGAGATCACTCAGGATTACTAGGAGATCCACTCAAGGGCAGGATTCCATCCAGAGTGTGTTGTTTTCTTCTTTCCTCAGCTAGTAATCCAATTAAATAGTTGTAGTAAATTTACTTGTAATATTTCTAGCAGTGTCATTTTGTATGAGCACAGTAAGAGACATCAAGCTTAAAGTTTGGTTCTTTCTGGAGTCGTCTCACTATATATTCTAGACCACAGTCTTCAGGCCAGGTTAGACTTCCTGACCCCAGCAGGATCCTTATTCAGTAACCTCTTTTGGGTCATGACAGTTTGCCCATGACCATGCTCTAAACTTATAGTAAGTATTATGGCAGTTGGCCTGGCCAGTTTCAGTGCCAGGTTAGCTCACAGCTTGCTCTGGGTCCATTATTCTCTTGTCAGGCAAGTGAGGCCTAAGTAAATAAGGGTGCCCAGGAGTAAATATTTGGAATCAGTTGACTCCCTCCCATGTTACATGCATGGCATCAATTGTCTGTGTCTATACCAAAAGGACATTGCTAAATAAACCATACAAATGCCATAAAGGAAAGAGAACAGCAATATAGGATTCTTAGTTGTGCCTCAGTAGCTCTTGTGGGAATGACTCAATAGACCCTAAGCTCCCTTCAGGAACAGCAAAGACAATTCAGTGTTATCCAAAAAAATACAAAAGAAAAAAGAGAAAAAAACTCATTAATCCCAGAAAGGATTTGCTTGTGGTGAGATGTTTTCAGTGAACCCCATGGTCCATCTTGGCTTGGTAAGGTTGCAACCTTGCCTTAACGCACGCGTTTGGTTTATTTTATTTAACTTGAAACTACTTCAGTGTTCTGCAGCCTTATGTCCATTTTATTTATCTGCTCATTCAGTTGAAAAAAAATTAAACAAATTAATGACTGCGCATCCTCAATTCTGTACATCCTCCATGTAGCAATATTGTGTCATTCCATGGAAAAGCCATCCTTGTGTCAGGAATTGCGTTCCTTGTAGAAATGTTAGAAACGAACCTGCAGGCCGCAGTTTCTTTTGACAGGGAGACTCTTAAGGAATGGAACAGTAATTGGAATCCTCCTCTGCATTCTACAGGGAAGCAGCCAGCTCCGTTGGAATGTGTCTGATCCTGAGCTCTGTGACAATGTCTCAAGTGAGCAATCCTGCCCTCAGCCCCATGGGGATGCGAAGACAGGCGGGATGTCTTCCGTTGGTGATCAAGATGGAGAGAATGACCTCATTCTGAAGAAGCCCTCCCCTGGGAAAAGCTCCTCACAGTCTGTTGTACTCGGTTTTTGGACACAAACCCCCCCAAGGGGTCAGCCCCGGGACTGTGGGAGAGGAGCACCGTTTATGGTGAATCCCTCACACCGACAGGCCCACAAGCAAAGTCACCATGAACTGACCCCATCCAAGACTACAGAATGTGCAGAAGTCTTCCCTTGTTCTTGGCAGCGGGATGTTCCCTTAGAAACCTACAGTGGACAAAATCCCCAAGATTGTCAAGAGGAAGAAGAAACTTTGAATCAGGTGGCATCCGAGGGTGATAGTTCGAAGATCCAAACCGGAGAGAAACCATTTATGTGGATACACTGTGGGGAGGCTTTCACTTCCCCCTCTAAAGGTATTATACATAGGACAGTTCATACTGCAGAGAAACTTCATGCATATGAAGAATGTGGACAAGCCTTTCCTCTGTCCTCACAATTTAGTATCCACAGGGAAATTCATACAGGAATGAAAACTTGCTCGTGTCAGGACTGTGGGAAGGCCTTCACTTGCGACTCAAACCTTTCTCGTCACAGGAAGAGTCATTCTGGAGAGAAAGCGTTTTCATGTCAGGACTATGGGAAAGCCTTTGCTTATTGCTCAAACCTTTTTAAACACAAGGGAAATCACACTGGAGAGAAACGGTACATATGTAAGGAGTGTGGGAAGGCCTTTGATTATCCCTCAAGACTTTCATATCACATGAAAATTCATACTGGAGAGAAGGATTGTATATGTCAGGTATGTGGGAAGGCATTTAGCACAACTGCAATGCTCACTATACATGCAAGAATTCATTCGGGAGAGAAGCCTTTTGTGTGTCAGGAGTGTGGGAAGGCCTTTCGCAGAACTTCAATGCTTACTATTCACAGGAGAATTCACACTGGAGAGAGACCTTATAAATGTAAGGTGTGTGGAAAGGCCTTCAGTCATTTGTCATCCCTTAATAGTCATATGAATACTCATACTGGAGAGAAGCCTTATGCATGTCAGGAGTGTGGGAAGACCTTTAGCACATCCTCAGTGATTACTGTACATAGGAGAATTCACACTGGAGAGAAACCTTACAAATGTAAAGCATGTGGAAAGGCCTTCACTTATTTGTCATCCTTTAAAAGTCATATGAATACTCACACCGGAGAGAAGCATTATGTGTGTCAGGAGTGTGGGAAGGCCTTTAGCGCATCCTCGGCGCTCACTGTGCATAGGAGAACTCATTCGGGAGAGAAGCCTTTTGTGTGTCAGGAGTGTGGGAGGACCTTTCACACATCCTCAATGCTTACTATACATAGGAGAATCCACACTGGAGAGAAACCTTATAAATGTAAGGCATGCGGAAAGGCCTTCACTCATTTCTCAGTCCTTAAAAACCATATGAATATTCATACAGGAGAGAAGCCTTATGTCTGTAAGGAATGTGGGAAGGCCTTCACCTGGAACTCAGGCCTTAGTAGGCATATGAAAATACACAGTGGCGAGAACTTTTTAAGTGTGTGAAGAGTGGGAAGTCCTTCATATTCCTCTCAAGCCTTCGGAAACATAGTAAAATTCATACTGGATGACTCCATCCCCTAATAACAATCCCTAAGGTCAGAACAAATACCCTTCCAAAAAAATGAGTTTTTTTGAACAAGATTGATCGGGGGTTGCAGAAGTGCAGTTGAGAAAGAAATCCCCCTGGTAGCATGTGACAAAGTTTCCAGTGACCTCAGTACTATAAGGAAAAGGTAGTTGCCGGTGATTACACATGACTTGACATGGTAATGATTACCATTACTTACGCCAGCGTCCCAGTTTTTGAACTTGACGTGTGTATTAACTTGTAAATAATGGGTCTTGGTGATGGAATGCAGGTGAAAATTGATTAAAACTAAATAAACGGGTACAGAAGCCACCCCTCAATCGGAAATGTCAGTATCTCATTTTTACTTACTTTTTCACTTTTATGCGCCTCCATTCTTAGGGTTGGTACATACATGGGATTCATTTATTGAAGTATTTTTTTAAATAATTCATGCCATACTTGGCAGCTCTTAGGAGTTTGTCCCGATGTTGTTCTGGATGCCAGGGATGGGAGTCAGGGAAACCATATTCAACATAAGCATTAAGCCATAGTACTAACCTCTGGCCCCATACTCTGGGTTGGAAACGTGTTTCTAAAACTGCATCCCGGGGTTTCCTTGTAGGTGAGAGTTCTCTGCTTGCGTGTTTTCAAGCGGTAGGGTGTTCACTGTGTTCACTCTCTGATGTTCTTACCAGGCTTTATAGTCCTGTCCAGTGTCTCTCCAGCTCTGGGCTGGTGCTTGGCCAGTTCCTCTCTGCATCTCTAGGGCTGACTTCAGAGTCACCGCTTTCACTCAGTCTTGATTGATTACTTCTGGAGAAACTCACAACCTACTTGCCTGTTTTACCTTGAATCAACCTGCTTATGTTTTTCCTCATGGACGTGTGTGTGTGTGAGAGCATTGTCTCAATGTTTGACCAGTACAGGATCTGGGGACTTCTCCATACCTGGCTACCCTGAACTGTGTGACCAGCCACTCCAGCAGTTGCCTCTCGTCTCCTTTATTCATGCCCATCCTCCTTGCTGCACGTTAACCTCGGCCGGCATAATGGTTTGTCTGCAGTGGAAACTGGCACTTTAAGGCTCCTTGGTGAATAGGATGACATCACAGATGGGAGTCTTCCAGGTTCACTTTTCCTCCCTGATGATGTCAAATGGATCAGGCCGCCTATGGACACGTGTGTAAAGGACAAAGTGATACCCCGCTGTGGAAGGGGGCCACTGAAGTCCTATTTGTGGCAGGATGTGAGCACCTATCGCTTCCAGTCTCCATACTGTGACTATTGTGGGATGCTCTGGTTGTTTCTCTCTTCTCTGCCCTCAACGTCCAGGCAGTTCCTGGAGTCCGACTTTTTCTGAAGGCTTTAGGAAGATGTGGAGCTTTGGTGGATACAGTGGGAGGATATCACGAGGCACAGGGGTTGCGGCCTCCAACTCCTGTGTGCGGAGCTGAAGGGGCGGTGGAGGAGGGGGTCGTGCTGCAGGCCTTGGGGGTGTGGGATTTGCCAACGGAGAGAGTCTTCAATGTCACCCACCCTCCCAACACGGGGCTGCCTTGGGCCTTGTCCTGCAGTTTTTGGTGTAGACATGCTTACGTGGAACTGCCAGATCACTTTTGGGGCAGCTTTTCAGCCAGGCTCTACCCTCAGAAATTATTTCCATCAGTGCTCGTGGTTTCATATGGGATGCCGAGGATTGATCATTGTCAGTAAGGGAAACACCGTATTTTTTTTTTTTTTTTTTGCTTTTTGGGTCACACCCGGCTATGCTCAGGGGTTACTCCTGGCTCTGCACTCAGGAATTACCCCTGGCGGTGCTCAGGGGACCATATGGGATGCTGGGATTTGAACCCAGGTTGGCCGCGTGCAAGGCAAATGCCCTACCCGCTGTGCTATTGCTCCAGCTCCAGCACCGTATATTCTTAACTAACCGGCCCCACTTTGGTATCTTTTTCCTGATAAAGAATTTCGGTACCCTCAAATCAAGTTGAAAAGCATCCCTCCATTCTTCATCAACTCCCTGACAAGGCAAGCCCCAGATGTAGGGGTGAATATTGCGTGTAAAGGGGTTGTTATTATTTTTTTTATTTAAAAATTTTTTATTAGTGAATCACCGTGAGGTACCATTACAGACTTACAAGCTTTCATGCTTGCGTTTCAGTCATACAATGGTCGAGTAACCATCCCTCCACCAGTGCCCATTTTCTGCCACCAATGGTCCCAGTATCCCTCCCACCACCCCCACCCTGCCTCTGTGGGTTTTTTTTTTTTTAAAGCAAGATAGTTGGGGGTATTTTTGGCGGGAGGGGGGGGCGGTGAGATATTTGTTAACGGATCAATCCTGATGTGAGTGGTAGTATTGCATGGAGGGCACTTACCTTGCACAAGGCCTGTCCAAGTTCAATTCTAGAATTCTAACGGTCCCTCAAGCCACACTAGGATTAATCCCTCAGTGCCAAGCTTGGAATAAGCCCTGAGCACTGCCTGTTGTTGCCCCCAAATTGGAACACACACTCAGAGACCTGATACTTGTGTGAGTAAAACAAGGCTAAAAGTTTGTCCATGCTGAGTCCTTGTGGTTGCCCCCACTCTGGTGGCTGTGATCAGCCTTGAAGCTCAGGAGGTGCTTAAACAAAGGAGCTCCTGGCCTAGGAGTCAGTTCCTGGCTGGGCCCATAAGGACCTTTCTGTGGGGCCCAGGGAGGAGTACAGGTCTCAAGGCTACAGTTTTCTTCCCCATAGACAGAGCCCAGTGCTCCTGTCCTGACAGACAGCCTGAATTGCAGCCTGCTATGCATCTCCAGGAGAGGAAAGAGCGTCTGTCTGGTATTGTCTCCCCAATGGGGCTGTGACCTGCTGCCCAAGGGTGCCTGCCATCAGAACATCCCAGTCCAATGCAGGGACTTCCCAGGCGAGGCCTAGAGGTTTGTCCTTTCTCGGCTCACAGCTCTGACTTCTCCAGGTCTTTGGAGTCTAATGCTGACACTCGGGAATAAAGGGCAGGACCAGATGGTGCTGAGGCTTTTTCCTGGAGTCTGTTTGCAAAAAAATACTTTGTGAATTTTATTTCTTTAATAAAAATATAAAGACTTTTGGGGCTGGAGTGAGAGCACAGCGGGTAGGGCGTTTGCCTTGCACGCAGCCAACATGACCAACACAGGTTCGATTCCCAGCACCCCATATGGTCCCCTGAGCACCGCCAGGAGCAATTCCTGAGTGCATGAGCCAGGAGTAACCCCTGAGCATCGCCGGGTGTACCCAAAAAGGAAAAAAAATATATATATATAAAGACTTTCTGTTCCATATGCCATCTGTTTAGTCCCTCACTCTTTATCCTGGACCTGGTGACCCCAGATTTCCTGGTCACTTGATTGAAGGCAAGAAACAGAAAAAAAAAAAATTCATTCCTTGCCATCAAGTACCTGGTCAGGAATACTTGGAGCCTGGCCCATTAAAGCTGTGACTGGCAATGCAGCTGACAACACACAACTCAGGTCTTTTCCACCCCTCCCTCCACCCACGGTGGCTTCGATTTCTGGGCAGAAGTTCCAGTCAGCAAATATTTTTGCAGAAGGTGAGGAGCCGGGAAGGAGCAGGTATTGGGGTTCCCAGGAGAAACGGGGTCCTGGAAGGCTGATTTCCTCGCCAGCTGCAGAGTTGATCGCTCTGAGCGCCCTGAACCTCGCTATCTTCCCCCTTGTGAATGGCAGAGTCGCTTCATGAAGGTGGCCAGGGGGTGGCAGCCCCTCACCTGGGACGCACCGAGCGCTACCACTGAAAGGTTTATCTTATTTATTAATTGATTTTTAGGAAACAAGGGAGATTTTCCTGAAGAAAACTTATTTAGAAAGATGCATGAGGAGGGACGCTAGTCTCTTGAGGAGGGAGGGCGCTGGCCTTGCACGCAGCAGACCTGGGTTCGGTCCCCATGACCACACAGGGTTCCCTGAGCACAGCCAGACAGCCAGGAGTGATCGTCCCAAAATCTAAAAAAAAAAAAAAAAACCGGAGTGGACAGAAAAGCGTGGGTCTGGGGAAGAACACTAGCTTAGCTTAAGAGTAAAGGTTGCAAGAATAGCCGAGATAAGTACCAGGAGGATTACTCCATGGCTTTGAGGACAGCTGCACACGCTAGGGGAAAAGGCAATTCAGATAGAGAAGGGAGCACCAAATAAGGGTGTTGGGAGGTTCCTCTCAGGATGGGAAATGCGTGATGAGAGTAGACTAAAGACCGAACAAGATTGCCACTCAATGTCTCTTTTGCAAACCACAGCACTCAAAAGGAGAGAACAGAGGGGAATGCCCTGCCACAGTGGTAGGGGGGATTGGGGGGGATGGGGGGTGGGAGGGATACTGGGACTGGTGGTGGTGGAGAATGGGCACTGGTGGAGGGATGGGTATTCGATCATTGTATAACTGAAACCCAGGCACAAAAATTTGTAAGTCTACAACTGTACCTCATGGTGTTTCACTAATAAAAATTAAAAAAAAAAAAAGAGTAAAGGTTGCTTGGAGAGTTTTAGAAACAACGAAAACTTTTTTTTTTAAACCAGAACAAACTAGAGAAAGTGTTTTCTTTTTAAATAATTCTTATATGTGTTTTAGGGCTGCACCTGGTGGTGCTCAGGGCTGACTCCTGGCTCTGCGCTCAGGGATCCATGTTCAGGGCTCAGGGGCCCTAGGGGGTGTTGGGATGCCTGGCCAGCGCCCTCCAGGCCAACCTGTCAGTCTCACAACCAAAGAGAAAGTGTCAGAGCTAGAGGGAACCTCGGTTTCCTGGGAAATTCAATGGGGTGTGTGCAGGAGTGCCTCAAGATTAACTCCTTTGCAAGATGGTCACAGGGATGGGGGCAGGGGATCATGTGGGGACTGTCCCCACCCCAACCTGTTGCTGGCCGCCTTTCATTCCTTAGACTGATTCCCAGTC